GGTACTTATCAAACATGAAATCCTGCTTTCTTCCACCCTTTAGAATCACATCAATTAAGGCCAATTAAAATTGCACTGGCTGTGATTGCCAAGTGTAACCTTTATAATGGAAGAGGCCTGGAGACATTGTTTTTGTTGCCAAACAGAAAACATGCCCCCTCCACACACAATAATTATCTGAAAACTTTTTCTACATTCTTTTATAGAGAACTCACTGGTGGATGTTACTGCCTGTCTTTCTTCATATTTGCTCGATGTAATAATAGAGTTATGATTATCTGCTAGCTAGACCTGTATAACCTTCAGAGCTCAGTGACATGAAGTGGCTATATGATCCTGTCTGTACGTTCTTCCCAGTGTGTGCTCGCTCGCTCGCTCACTCTCTTTCCCTGTCTCTGTCTCTCTCTCTCCCCCCAGCTCCAGTTTGCAATGCTTTGAATCCCATCAGGTAGAAAAACGTGTGAGTGAGTACAAGGAATGAAGCAACAATCTGGTGAGAACGGATGCTATGGGAGAAATGTTCTGTTGTCATGCATTCACATTGGAAGATACTGCTCTAAAGATAACAGGTAACAGTTTCCTTGAAATCCAATTTCCAGCAGCTTAGTGATATAACGGAGTCACACAGATACCTGTTCCACAGATACAAGGAAATGCAGAAAAGCCCCCACATGCATTGGGTCACAAAGTCAACCACATTTAGTATAACTCTGCACAAATGGGGCCTACAGAAACACACACAAATATAGTGTACCCTCACCTATCAAGAAGCGGGCTTTCTCCAATGAACAATCAATATTCCATAGCTCCTGAGCATGTTCAGTTCTTATTGGGCTCAGGGTGTTTTGTGCAGTGCTGCCCCCTTAAATTTTGAAAAAGACCTTTGGTACTTTTGTAAACTTTGAAGCTTCCTCAAGCACACTGAAACCTTCTGTTTCTCAGTAGTTCTTTATTAGCTACATTACCATCAGCACTCAGCATCAGAGTATGATATCAAAGGGGGTGATATTGTCCCCCAAAGCATTTAAAACTTAAATAGATGAAGGTATGCACAAATACTTTATTCTGATAAAATACATTAACATGCAGTTCTACACACACTGTATCTCATTGAACTCATTGAGACTTATGTCTGACTATACATGCATAGGACAGGACTTTGCGTAAAATTATGGAAATGGGTGTTTAAAGGTTGTAACAAGAACTCACAAGTAACAGTACCCCATGGGCTTCAAGTTACCCTACAGAATGGTTACCTTACAGAACAGTTACCGTACAGAATCACAGAAATCATGTGCTGTTAGATATTTCTCTCTGGAATACAGCTAAGGTAAAGAGCTTATGAACAAAACCATTTTTCCTGGACTGTCAAACGTTAAATTGCCAGCTGGTAGAAATCAGACTACAGCTATTTGTGTTTTTACACCTGTTGTGGATTAGACCATATAATCTATGCTGAAATTCCCCATGATTGTCACAAGTAAAAAGGCTAAGAGAGCAGAAGAACACTAGGTTTAAGCACATAGCATGCCCCCACCTCCAAGATCAACTCCCTGCTTCTATACCTATAAACTAACAGTACTGTAGGTCCCCAGAAAAGTGTAGCTGAAAGAGCTACCTCCAAGTTTCAGAGCGCTTTGCTCCAAACAGCTCACAGACTACTTCCCTCCATTCCCATCCAATCACTTTCACATCCCTTTTTTGCCCTCACCAAAAATTTGATTTCAACCTCCCATCCAAATGGGAGTGGAGATGTCAGAGCACAGCAAGGTGTCCATGGTGCAGACATGCATAAGCCACACCATATATTATAAAGAAAGCTAGGTAATGATGCAGAGCAGTTTGTACTGGACTAGCATCAGGGGGACTCAAATTGGGTTCAAATCCCAATTAAGTCATTAAGCTCTCTGGGTGACCTTCCTCAGTCTGTGTGTCAGCTCAAACTATCCACTGTGTTGTTTCCAGGGTTGAGGGAGAAGCCTGTACTCTGCCTTGAGATTCTTTGTGGAATCCTCCAAAATAAATATTTAGCAGGGTGGGTGGGGGCATGTATTGCTCTTTTCCAAAATGGTAGGTATTGGCATACTGTTTATGTTGAATAACTCCAACAGTTTCTTGGCCCCTGAGTATAAGTTGATGCAGTTAGCGCTCTAATGATGCACTGAATACAATCAGGTAGCTTCCAGCAAGGATTGTGTATCCTTGTACTTCAAGGTTCTCATGTAAGGTTCCTGTGTACAGATGCACATAGAGAATTTCACGTAGGATACTATTTCCAAACACAGGAAACAGGCTGTCACTAGGTGGCTTGTGACTGATATTAAACCACATGAGGCATAAACAGAAATGTTTTATACTAAAAATCCAGTGTTTCTTATATTTCCCATAGTTTGTTTAAAAAACTGGAAGGACTAAAATGGAAAGGTCTAAATTCACTTGGTTTGGATATTCCTCCTCATGCAACTGCAATTTCATGATGTGGAAAAACAGGGCTGCAAACACTCACCCTGTACCTCGCCCTGTACCCTAAATATCAGAGTGCCTGGTATACAGGGAAGTCTGTATAGGGGGAGACTCTTATCAAACAGAGTCCTCTGTTTCAGAAAACAGACAGAGGAGAGTCTTCTATTTGCTGAGTTGTCCTGTCTAAGTCTGATTTAAAGTTAAAGAACTGGGCTTTGAGGGTAACCATCAAGAAAGAAGAACTGGATAGCAGACAGAGCAAAGTGAGCTGGTTTTGCCACTAAGGTGAGATGCCTTCTGTTTTTAAATAATATTTTATTTTTTCTAACTTTGCACCCCTGTATTTGCATATGTAGATGTTATTCAAACTAGTGCTCCCTTTTGTGGGGCTGCCCATCCCTGTAGCTCTTTCTTTTTTGCCAAAAAGGAAGTGGCCACCCAATTGCATTCCATCCACTTCCATGAAAAGGGAAGGCCTGAAGCAGGGAGGTGTCTGTGCACACATGGGCCTGCTTCTAAATTACACAGGGAAGATCCATGTGGAGAATCTCCCCAGCTCAGCCCTTTCCCTCTGCTGGGTTGAATGTGGCATGACCAAGCAACAGGATGCAATGGAAGAAACAAGGCCTGTGAACAATGCCCAGCTTGTCTCTCCCATAAGATTCTAGTATGTGGTTGAACTCCCAAGTGGAGTAACTGAAGACAAAGGAAAAGAAAAAAGGAAGGCATGAGTTGTACTCCCTTTCCTGATTTCCACGATCGTGTATGTTTATGCTTGTGCATATCTACTATGAATCTGAGCTGTTAATGTCCGAGGCACTTTTTACGATAGGTGGGAAAGCAAAGATTAACTTGCGGGCAGGCATTCCCCTCAGAGGCCCAGGAAAAGCAGTAGCAAAGGAAGAGACCACAGCAACCATCAACCACAAGCCCCCGAGGATTTTCAGACCCCAAAGGACAGAGAAATCCATGCAACAAGAGAGCAGTTTAATGGCGGGTCTAATCTACAAATGAACTGTAGAAACACATCACGGAGGCTAAGGGAAGGAATAGTTCAATGCTGGTGACAGCAGAAGTGAGTGTGAGGAGACATAAGCCTGCTGGACAATTGCTGTAATGTAGTGATTATGGACTTCTACAGAATTTTTCAAATTTTTTCAGTGTAAATAGAACTAAAACAAAGAAACAAGAGGCTCTGTGATCATATGCTAAAGTGAGGCATACACATTTCTATTTATAACATAACAGCTGTTCATAGATCTCTACAGTCCTTTACAACTCTCCATTTTCAATGCCCCACTTACCCATTTGTCAATGAGTAGGAAATACCCATGCCTGATTAGCATGCAGGAGAGGGGAACAGCTCCAAAATCGGAGGATAACAGTGGGATAAGAGATATGGCTGCTTGCTGTGTGCAGTTAAAGTTTTCTGACACATCCCTCTCCATCACATTGTGCAGGTTTTTCTACAGCAAATTTCATCCAACGCTGGCATTCACAAAGAGACTGTTTTTAGTAGTTAGGCCTTCTTATTTAATGTTTCCTCTGGAGTAGGCACTGGTACCCCCATTCAAACCAGCACTGGGGACAGTGGTAAGGAGAATGTTAAGATCCTGCATCAATTCTAGAGGTAGAATAAAAATGAACAATGTAGATGCTGGACACAGATTTAAAATAACATCTGCTTTGGCCTTATGGACATATTGCCATGCATGCATGCTGGGGAATGCTGGGAGTTGTAGGACTGTTTTCTATCCAAGCATAGCCTTCTGCCCTAGATGTAGTTTTAACACGTTATTTGTTCTGCAAATGGGAGAAGGGAAAACCCGGTAAGTGGGAGAGAGGAGGCAGTAGCAAACACAATTACAAACCTAATAAATTTGTATTGTTATTAGCATTAGCAGCATTATTATTGTATTTCTAGATAGCCTTTTAAATCAGAGATTCTCAAGACTGAACTATCAGTAGTTTTTTCATGAATTCACTATTTTCTTTTTTTAAACATTCAATTCAGAAGAAGACATGCAGAACTAAGATACTGATATAATCCACTCAGTTTATTCCAACTGAGTGGACCATTCAGAGAATTAATTCTGATTCAAGGTGCTAATTTGGTAATATTAAGGTCTTCAAGTTAAAGAGCTATTGCCACAATAACAGGATGGGAACTTCTGTTTGTCGTCTCCTTATGGCATACTCTTTTCTACCAGAGCAAGTTTCCCTAGCAACTAGTAATGCACCCCAGCTGGGATCAAGCAGCAGCACTTCCTTCCTTCTCGCCAAAGACTCTGCAGGTCAAACCCTGCATCTTTACAGTGCACATTGTCAGGAAGATTTTTATTACACTTGAACTAAAGATGCAAGGTGTCCTTTAATGGGTGTTAGCTACAGACAGGCCTACCATGCATCTAACTCCTTCATCTGCACATAAATAAACCTGCCTGTGTGAGCTGACAATTGGGACAATTTGTCCTTGCCAGCATGACCCTTCAGCACAGGCATTTCCAGTGAGATGGAGAACCGACTGCTTGACTTACGGCTGGCACAGCTTGATCAGATCCTGGTCCGTGGTGCCGGGCGGAAGGCCTCGGATGTACAGGTTGGTTTTACTCAACTGCTCTCCGCTGCTGTTGCTGCTGCTGTTGTTGCTGCTGTTCGTGCTGGGGCTGGGAGGAGCCATGGGGTGGGGAGCTGGTGCATAGGAATGCTGAAACAAGAAAGATGGTTGTTGGAAAACATACTACCAATGGCTTCACAGGCCACAGAGGCTTCCCCGAAGCAAGGAAGTGCACGGAACAGCAGCTCTGGAGCTACCCAAGCCTTATGGAGGGGCCATCAGCAGACAGCCCTTTTTCCCTCAAAGCACAAACCATTCTATGTGAGAGGAAGCACAGTGTTGCTCTTTCCAGGGAAGAATTCTGCCCCTCCAATGCCATGGACGTTTACGGTGAAATGCTTTCAAAAGAAAAAAAAAAAAAAAAACAACATCGGATGCATCTCATTATGTTGATCGAGAGCTGCCCTGAGTCAAAACATTAAAGTAAATTGCACAGTTTTCATGCAAGCCACCAAATACTCTACTGGGGGCAATAGGAGATAATGGCAACATGGCTAGTAAGAAGAAAGTGCAGGTCATTGGCTAGTAAGGGGAGGGGACTGCAGTTCAGATGGATAGCTTAGGCTTTGGTTGTGAAAAGTACCAAGATCAGTCCCTGGCATCTCCAGTTGAGGAGGCCATGACACCTGTGATGGGAAAAGTGTCCTTCTGCCTGAGAACCTGGAGAGACTAACAGTCAAAGCAAACAATCCTAAAGTGAAAGACAAATCATATGACTTGGTAAAAGCCTAAAGATCGATTTCTGTTGCTCTTGGTGGGGCCACATATCTTGGTTAGCCATCATAGTGGACCTGTATGCATCCATGGCTTTCCAATATGGGTAGTTTTGCCTGGCAACTATGTTTCAGCTATCAAAGGAAGCAGTAAAGGGAGGTGAGTAACACACAAGGGAACTGACTGGATGATATTCAACTAATTTGAATCCAGTTGTTAGGGACTAAGAAAAGTAATCTTAAAAGAAAAGAGGGATCTGGAAGCACCCAGAAGCATTGAAATGGGATGGCAGGGAACAGCAAAGGAGAATATGCACCAAAAGCAACAGGACAGTATCTTCCCTTTGTCAGTGTGATCCTCGCAGTTTTAAAAGTTGAACTGATATCTCCCAGCAAGGCATCCTCTACCTTTGCGTACAAATTAGCTGACTGGTAAGTTTGTCTTAGCTTAGGCATTGAAAACTCATATCAGATAGCGTTGACTGCACACTGGTAAAAGCCATTGTTGTTGTTGTTATTATTAAAACATTACAGAAATGACGTTAACAGAAGGTCCCAGCAAAGGACCGTTCAGCATCGGTGGAAGGCCAATGACCAGCAAGACCAAAAAAAGCAAGCGGCATGGGCTTTTCACCACTCTTGCCAAGCAGTTCTATAAGCAATCTCAGCAACCAATGGTAAAATTGTTCTTTCAGGTTTGAATGGCATGTACAACAAATGGAATCAAACTACTGGATTTGATATTTGTGCAAGGATGAAAATGAATTTCTGTAAGCAGCTGAAATATTGTGCTAGGAAAATGACACTGCTGGATACAACCCAATGAGCTTGATCATTCAGATGTTACAGAAGTGATACCTGCTGTTGCTTATATTGGTGATGTACTTCAGGTTCTGAGATGTTTAAAAGGGGGGTTGTCAAGATTCAAATGAGCCATAACAAACTATTATGACTGAGATATAATCAATCAGCAGCCGGGGAAAGACCTAGCCCTTGAAGAGGTATTCACGTATGTGAAAAGTCAACACAGCTATATGAGTACTGTTTGAAAATGCCTAAGCTATTGCATTGTAATTATAAGCTACACATATACTTAATTATGACTTGTTCTCCTCCTGTTCTGCAGTTCAGTGATGTGGCTGATTTTGGCCACCTAGATACATTGCTTAAGATGGGGTCAAAGGAGGCTGGAGAACCACCAGGATAATCATAACCTTTCTACATCTCAATGCCTCCTTCTCCCTTCTCTGGAGTTGCCTTTATGCCTCAAAAAAAGCCAGTGTGGCTCTTTCCATGTGGACTTTGAGGAGGAAAAGGGAAATCCAAGCATGAATCTCCAGATCCAGCCTGGAATTCTGAAGAAACCTCTGCTCCCGGAGAAGCTACCTAAGGACCATGTATGTGATCATTCTGCTGCAAACATTTCTATTTTTGCAAGTCAGTCCCTTTCTGTGGAAATAAATGGTAGAAAATCTTAAGGAATTTATGCAGAGATACTGTCATTATCTTAAATACACTTGTGGCATGTTAGTCAGCCTGTGCATGACAACATCAAGGCAACAGTTACAGGAATGAACAGTGGAATTCCATCTCTCTTGTGGAGATGACAGGTCAGATAATAACTGTAAGTTGATTAGACATTAATCTGACATTTATAAAGCAGCTTTGGACATTACAATCAAGCGCCAACTCAGTAATTGTGCCCAAGAAAAACTATTTTTGACTTTTTAATTCCAATTATTTTTCTTTTTAAAAAATCCATAATAAAATATTGGGGTGCGGTTGCCCATAGATGAAATTACTGGTTTTAAATGCAGTAGCCACGCATGCAATTCATCAAAGGAAATTTTCTCTTTTCACTAACATTGATTCCTCCATTGGGAAACAAGAGGAATTATCAAAACCTTGGACTGGATTGAGTTCTGTGAAAGAAAAAATAATGAAATGACGTGTTTCCATCTAAAGATTAATTCACAGAATGCCAGTTTTGTTCATGCAAGTAGTCCCAAGTATACTCTAACAAGAATAAACACAATTTATGAATTGGATGATCACAGCAATTCCTATGATCACTCTGACATGCCAATCCTAAATTGCCATATCCTAAGTCCAGCTCTAGTTGCCTGGTGCATAAACAACATTTTGGAGACAGTTGTCTACTGTGTTGTACTACCTACTGAAATCTTATTCTAGTACCTGACTAAATGTAAGGACTATGGGTTTCTGCTTTTGGCTGCATGGTTAGAGCATATGTTGCCATCCCCATCCCCTTTGGACTCCATAGGTTTGTGTTCTACAGCAGTGACATAGCTTGTGATACCACGCCATGTCTGTCATGCTACAAGAGAGTTATAGTACAATCCTGGGAATGTCCTTGAATCCATCTGGAACTTCCACAACTTGTAACCTGGCAAGCATACTATACATATCATGCTATTTGTTTATCTGTATAGGCCAGCCCTTAAGTGACTTGAAGGTGACATATGAAAGGGACATATAACGCACTAAACAACCCAAAACTTTCTTCTGCACAGACTCACTACTGAAATTTCAAAGGGGATCCCTTTTGGTTATGCCAGAACCCCCAGATCGTCCTTTATCAGCAGCATAAAAATAGTTATTTTCTGCAGTGGCACCTGCTTTTTGAAATGCTCTCTCCATTATTGTGTGGGAAGCACTAGTTGTTACATTCTTTTGACATCTATTACAATCTCTAAAGCAGAAGTAGGCAACCTGTGCCCTGCAGATGTTGGTCCTCAATTCTCATCAGCCCAGACAGAATGGCCTATTAAAGGGATGATCTTATCTTTAGCTCAACACCATCTGGAGGTCCTCATGTTGCCCACCTACATATTAAAGTATGCATGGAAAAATAAAGCTTGTAGGCTATCACTACAGATTTTTTGAAGGTAACCATCAGAATATATTGTTTCCAAAAGGATTCAAACATGCTTCAATAACATTATTTTTTAAAAAAAGAAATCAAACAGCTTAAGTATTTAATTCACAGGCCTGACCATTCGAAAAGGTTAAATAAAGATGAACTGTTTCACAGATTATTTGGAGCATCTCATTAATTCAGTTCACCTAGCTAATAGGATTTGTTTTTATCTTTGAAAAAATGAGTGAAACATTTTAAATAATTGGGCAGGGGGTACAAAAGAGGAAAAATATACTGTTAGATTTCTATCTGGCTAAATAATCCAACTGGATGATAAGGTGGTGCAAACCAAACTATTCATGCAGTTTACTGTAGTATAAATAAACTGGTCAATAAGCAGAAATAATACTTCGGTTTTCTTTAACCAATAATTAATGACCTATCAATGGCAAAAATAAGCTAGTTTTCGTTGTGACAAAGAAACCCTCCTCTGATGCACTATTATCCAACTTCATTTCAATGCAACTTTATATTATCAAATGTTGATCCAATGCATTTCTCTTTGCTGCTGAAACAAATACTTTTTGCTCAGACCAAGCTTCTATTTACAATTGAAATGAATGTTTCCTCCAGATGAAAATCTCAGCCCCCCATATAAAAGATGTAGATTTTGTTTTCTCATAAGCAGCTGGTTTGTTTGCTCATTTCTGGGAGCAGTTTTGGATGGCTTTGAATACTAAAGTATGTCAGGACTACTCATTAGGTAAACTGGACAATTTGCACTTTATTTCTTTGTCTATGAGACAGTCGTGTACATATGGACTATGAAGATTGTTCCAATAATAAACTAAAAACATTCCATAACATAAGAACGCTTCATTCAGTATGCATCTATTTTTGCCCAAGCACATCTAATGTAGGTATAAAATGTACTGCATAAGGGAAGTATCAGGTACTGTTTCTTTGTGTGCAGAACAGAGTATATTTAGGGCACAATTTTACCACCTCTAAGCATCTGAACTCAGAGGCTTACGTGCATCCTATACCTGGTACATCTTTCCCTTGCATGCTCTTTTTTCTCCCTCCAGTGTTGGGAAAGCAATAGTACTGGCCCTTAATAGTATAGTTATGATAGTTCCTTGCTCCACATTCCAAAATAGGGAGTGTATTCTCTGCAGAAAGAGGCACCAAGGCCAATCATGTTCTAGTATTATTTTTTTGGAACCAAGAGCTTGTAAAGTCCCATTAACAAAGTTGTCCTCACTGTAACAATTCTCAGGATCATGAACTGACCAAGTTTCAGCATTTATAAGCATCTTGTCACCTCCAGAGATTGTTATAAAATGAGTGTTTGGAGGGTGCATAAAATAAAAATTTCCCTCTGTGCAATGAGTTATTTTTCTCTAGGAAAAATATATTGGAAAGTATGTGCTGTTTATACAATTTAATGCTTTCCAAAGGCCCTTTATTTTCATAGCTAGCTTTCAAAGAGAGCG